TTGAGGAAGATTCTGGACTCCAGGTTGTTCTCCGATGCGTTCACTGGAGTGTGAATCTTATTAGGCATAGATAAAACAATGCTTATGTGAATAAGATATGTCATATAAAAGTGCAAAATTGTAGGTTAGCACTATATAAGAACCAGCCTGTTTATCATTTAGCACGCTGCACCAAAGAAAAGTGCAACACATAGCCACTTGCTAATAGTGCTAACATTAGCTAAGTGCTAACATTAGCACTTAGCTAATGTTAGCACTTAGCTAATGTTAGCACTTAGCTAATGTTAGCACTTAGCTAAGTGCTTGCATGTTGTTCTCAAGAAAGGACAACATGCAGCTCACAGCTCCTTGTGTACATCCACATACCTTTAATACCATTATTAAACCAATTCACCCAGTATTAAGTTATTCACAGACCATAGACCTACCTATGTTGGGCAAGTTTAGGATTTTAACATGAGACTGATTCACTTTTGGAACCAGCCTCAAGTAACTACTAAAGGAAGTTCATTTTGGGTTGCAGTTTGTTTGTGGACCCATGGGCAGCTTATATTATTGTGTTGGTGAGAAATTAGGATGAACCATATCAATAAGCTGGAAGATGCTTTAAAAAAAATAACTGAAGTTTATGTGATAAATTACAGGTATGATTATAAGCTTCATTTTGTCTCTTACTTTAAGCACACTTCCCAGACCACTCTGGGCACCATCAGCTCTTGTATCTTTACCACACAGGCACCGTTTCCTCCAGAGCCATGTAAGGAACAGAGCTGAGGATGACGCACCAGGATGTTGTGCAGAATGTATTCCTGTCAGGGTGGGACGACACTGATAAGGACAACAGGGCCGCTGACCTGACGTTCCCTGCTCCTGTCACACTGACAGCAGGGCTCAGTGCAGTCAAGTGTTTCTTCCTCCGTCTGTGTCGCTGTATGCTTGATCACTCCTTCTGCTGCAGAGTCTTATATGAACTCACAGCGGCCCTGCAGGATGAAATCAGATATTACTACTGAGACCTTTACACATCAGGCTTTCCGGTCTGCTGGAGGAAAATATGTCACCATCTCCTGGTTGCAAAGCAATACAATGCTGCCTTGAACATGCTTCAGTTATAGTTATAGTCAACAGTGTATATGATGCGCAACCAGCATGGATACAGCACACCATCTGGTTTAAGCGTCATTAAATTTTCAGCAGCATAATGAGTCTAACAGCATTTGCTGATGTGTGCTGCCTCACATCACCTCAGGTCCACAGCCAGTAAAACCAGCTGAGACGGTGTGGGAGTTTAAAAGATGGGTAAAAGCTCAAAAATGTTGATGCTATTCTGTCTTTTAGTAACCA